TTTTCAGAACGGGGTAATTTTTATAAATTCAGTTATTTTGTCTTGTGGAGTATGTATAAATATTTGTTATGTGAAATAGCTTATTCAAGACAGTACTAAATAAAAAATAACAAGCAATTTTCATGATCCCATTTTGCATATTCTGCAAGGGGTGTGTAAACTTATGTGCACAATATTATTCTATTAGTCAAACAGAGGGTAAACAGTGGGAATGAAAAACTACATTTTGACTGGTTTTGGTGCAAGAAACATTATAAGTATACTTCACAGGAAAAATATATCACGTGTTTGTGTGCAGGTGGTGAGGTCTCTAAAGCAAAGTTTACGCAGTATTTCCGAGGCAGTTTGTCTGGACTGACGATACGATCTGGGAAGATTGCAAGCCAGAAGACAATCTCCTGCCTACAGGCCTGCAAAGAAGGACTGGACATCACCTCTCTGGAGAGCCTCGGACAGAGGATAAAGGTTACACACACACACATGTCTAACTTAAAACAAACTCTACATTATATTTCTGAATTAATGAGCTGTGCTTGAAGCCAGTGTGAAATGCCAATAAAAGCTCAACTGAATTAACATTGGGTTAACACTGAAAAGGAGTTTGCCATGAATAAAACCACAGAAAAGCGTTGAAACTCACTATTTTGTAGAAAACTAATGAGTATGAGGTGAAGAAAAGCCAGGAGACAAAACTTGAGGAGAGATATTTCTGTATGCACATTTTCCATTTTCTGCTTTGCTTTCCTCTGTTCTGTTCTATTGTATTCGAGAAGCTCTAGGGAAGGCTTGAGGATCAAATGAAAGAGGGTTTTACAGACAGAGAGTCAGAGTGTTAGTGAGAGACAGAAGACAACTGTTCCTTCACACATGTGGTCTGATCGCTCATAAGCTCAAAGCAGGAGTGTGCTTCAATCAGAAGCGACCTGATGATGGCTTTTTGATAAATAACAGTTCTGTTTTTGCCGTGATGAAGGATGCAGAATTTGAATTTAGTTTAATTCATATGACTGCTGTAAGTGTAGTTTATCATCAAATTTTCGGCATAAATCACTTAAAAACATACTTGTTAACAAACACAAAACAGTAGATTATATTAATAATTCATTTCTGAAATGCCACAGTGTTCTGAACAATGCATTTCCAGACTTTTCCTGGATACTGATCAAATAATTAAAAAAAAGACCAATTTACTAATTCATATGACCGATTCATAGACAAGAACAGACTCTAAAGATTGATTTACTTACACATCGGACATAGTGTGTGAGCATGTTCACAACAACATTAATGAAATATTTTAAAGCAAAACTACACTGTAAAAAACAAATCCTGTCATTTTACAGAAAAAAACTGGCAGCTGTGGTTGCAGAATAGTTCTGTAAATCTAGAGTAAAAATGTAAACATATTTACAGAACAAACCAATTTAAATTTAATATATTTAACAATAAATTACATAAATAATAAGGTACATAAATCTAATAATAAATGATTAAAGAATAATAAGTTTAGTCTTTCACAGTAAAAATTACACTGTAAAAATTGATTTTTAAAAGTTGCAAAAATAACAAAGATTATTGGAGTACATTTGTCAAAAAAAAGTCTTCTTAAAATTTTCATGTACACTGTAAAAAATGACAGTGAATTTAACAGTAAAAGACTAAAAATCTGTTAAATGGTTAATGGTAAATTCCCCTACTATATACAGTGAAAAACTGTATTGGACATTACATGTATTGGACATTAATTTTACGGTAGTATACCGTTTTTGGAAGTGAAAAAGACTGTATAATTTACAGTGAATAACCATAAATTGACATTCCCAGAATTCCCTGCGTTACATTTCAAATTTGATGTTTTTTTGTTGAAATAACTATGTTTCTTCTTAGTTTTTTCTTATCAGTTTTGTATATTAGGGTTGTAATAACCTAATGTTGTTAAATGAATGTTTATTGCATTATTTCAGTTTCATGTGTGTTACCATGATGGTGTTTAGTGTTTGTGTGAATGACACTGTGCACCTTCTATATATGTTATTATTTAAAAGCTGCTTGTGATGGGCTTTGGTTCATCATGTGACGTTCTCATCACCTCCTGCATTTGGTGGTTATCAGTGTATTACAAAGATACAAAACAGATTTCAGTACTTCAATAGGTTGGTATATTAACATTATATCAGTTAATGAAATTACGGTATTTAACTGTAAATTTAAGTTAAAACCGTAAAACCTAAAACGTTACTACCGTATTTTTTACGGTAAAATTCCGGCAACCACAGCTGTCGTATTTTTACCGTAAATTTTACGGAATTTTTTTTACAGTGTAATTAAATGTGTTGCTCATTTTTTGTAATTCTGAAACTTTCTATCAATTTCTGAGTGAAAATTGTTTGTTTAAAAATCTAATTCAAAATTGAATAAATATGTATTAACCTAATTTGTTTATGTAGTGTAATTGTTACAATTCCTGTGTCCTATCATTCAATTCAAATTCACAGCCATTTCTTCATTTCGCACATCTCTGCCTCAAACACTCACTCTCACAGACACCTTGATAGTATAATATCTCACGGTTTTCTGTCTCAGTTTCATCTGAATCCCGCTCAGTCTCTGGTGGTGATGGAGGGAGAGGATCTGGAGCAGATGAAGGCCGCACTGAGGAAAGTTTCTTACATCAACTCTCGGCAGTTTCCCACCAAGGGAGCGCGTCACCTCCGGATCTCAACGGCAGTGCAGTAAGATTATAAATATTCACGAGATCTCATCTCTGAACTACAATACTAGAATTTTAGCTCTGGAATACGGCAATATAAATGATCAAACCATTTATATCTGGTTGCACAGTTTTGATTTGCATCCCAGAGTCATGCGAGAGCTTAATTTTAATCTGTGCTTCGACCCAGGGCTGGAAAAGTTTTTAAAACTGTATCCTACTGCGTGTAAACTTTTTTTTAAATTGTAAATAACACAAAGATTATTGGAGTATGTTTTAAATGAAAATACTTTCTAATTTAAAATTTGACATTTAATTCAACGTGTTACTTGTCCTTTCTTATATTTAAAGGTGCTGTATGTATTTTTTGACTGTACTAAACATAAAAATACCATAATATGTTTGCAGATATTTAGGAAACATATTAAGTCTACATACTTGTTTCCACCGAAAAACAATGCTACAGTTATTCTGTACTTTGAAATGTGCGTTTTGTGTCAGAATGTCTGTTTTTGTTTCGGAGCTCTTTGAGCAGAGTAATATTAAAACACAGATTTTGTGTCCTCAATCTGGCAACCTTTTTCCACTATAAAGAACACTGGAACAGTTCCATTGATGTTAAAGGTTCTTCACAGAACCATCCATGCCAATAAGAACCTTTATTATTAAGTGTATTTGTAACTACATTTTCTGCTAGCTAGCTGCTTGCCGGTTGCTTACTGACTATTTCAAATCCCTAATTGTATACTATAAGCAGTACTAACCCTTATTGTAACCTTTTCACTTATTCTGTTCTTATCTAATTCATATTCAATGCTTAGGGAGGTTTAATTATTATGTACAGACAGGGAAATGCAAAGAGAATGATAGAGAGATTTGTTTTTTGGAGCACAATTGCACCCACTGGCACCCCATGATTCTTCAAAGAAGATCATGAATATGCATAAGCCCCTAGAGGTTTATGACCCGCCCCTCTGAGGCTTAAGCACAGCCAGTGGGCGGAGTTCCTTCAGCAAAGCGCAACAGAGAATTAGCATGAAAACACACACACACAACACTGAAACACACATAATAGAGCAATAAAGTATTATATTACTGTAAGACATATAATTGAACTCTAGCTTCTCTTATTCTTAAAACTTGCTGATCACAGACTTATATTAAGACCTAGAGGTTTATGACCCGCCCCTCTGAGGCTTAAGCACAGCCAGTGGGCGGAGTTCCTTCAGCAAAGCAACAGAGAATTAGCATGAAAACACACACACACAACACTGAAACACACATAATAGAGCAATAAAGTATTATATTACTGTAAGACATATAATTGAACTCTAGCTTCTCTCATTCTTAAAACTTGCTGATCACAGACTTATATTAAACATGTGTTGTGTTTTGCATAATTAGTAACTTTTTTCTAAAAGTAATTTACACAATTAATTTACACTTCTGCAAAGTAACAGATTGCTTCTCAAGGAGACAAACACTGTGCAAAAACTCAGAATTAAAGGAAACACAATATTACCTTGGCATAAAAAGTACTGTAAACATGGAAACGCGAGAGTGTAGACCTATGGGGGCAGAATTATTTTTGTTATGAACAGATAAAATGCAATACTATTTTGTTTAAAGAAATAAAAAATAAAATACACTAAAACTTGTTTTAAATGCTACAAGTGAATTTAGGGTGTAACGGCTGAAATAAAATCATAATTCACATTATTTTGGTCAATATTGAGATCCTGATTATTTATTTACTAACATCATTCATTTATTGAACCTTTAAATTTTTTTATTTTAATTTTTTTAACAGTGGGTTTCCAAATAAACAAAAACAAATATATGTACACATTTATTTAATTCATTTAAAGATAATAAATGAAAATAAATTAGATCAAAATAAATAAGATCAACTATGTTGTATTGCACATCCACAGTGCTCTACAAAATGTTTGATCTAATTTATTTTGGTATTATCATTTATTTTTATATAATATTTTTAAGTACTGAATTACTGATAGTATTAGTAATCATTCCAGTAAAAAAAATTACTAAACATTTATTTATTATTACTAAACGTCACTGCAAAAACTAATTTCGCACAATAATCATTTTATCAGAATTATTTTATTAATAACGGTTGGAAGCCAAAAATGTAAATAATAATAATAAAATAAATAAATAAATTTTACAAATTTGCATATCGCCCAGCCCTACATGCAGCACAACACTACAATATTACAAAAACAATATTCATTTTTAAAATACAACACTATATATTACAATACTTTTTTTATTTTGAGACTTGCTAAAGATTACATTTAACAGTAGTATTAAATTAATATTGTTGTGAAAGATTTATTAGCTTCTAACTTTAGGTGAACAATAAATGATAGCAAAAAAAAGGCATATAAATGTAAAACTAAGAGGAAATCATCATTCAAAATGAAATATTCAATAATGAACAATAAAGTTTACACTTGGCTCCTTCAGTGCCATGCTGGAATATGTTCACGTGTTTAAACAGATGCGATGCAAACATCCAGGTTTAGTGAATGGCAGAATGCCTCATCCTTCATTCACCGACTGCCATTCGAATGCATGAATATTATCATAGAAAATCCATGCATATGTTCAACACACATCACCCTAAGAAACAATTAACATCCAAATATAGGGCTAAAGATGTCATATAGCATGCATCGTTTGGTCATCATCAGTCAATCGTCACAGATTGTAAAAGAATAAGTAAAATCATATTTTAGTTTAAACCAACTGTATCTTGTAGCTAACAGCTGTTTTCACAATGAAATATGGATTCATCTCTTCAAGCCTCGGCGTATCTAAACCATTCATTTCCTGTCTGTTGATGAATGTGAGTGTTTGTCTGCGTCAGGATTAAGAACAACATCTTTAATTATAGAAGGCGGATCTGTGTTCATTTGTGGATAATGGACTTCCTACTTCTGTCGTTCAAAGCTGCTTCACGGTGGTGAAATCACTAGAGTTGTAAATTAATTCTAGTAAACACTGTTTGTGTTTTGCTTTTAAGCTTATTAAGTCCAATTACTGCGAGATGCAAGAAAGCTGAAGTGTTATTAATTCACTCCAGGCGTAGGTTTTCTCTTTGTGTGAAGTTATCAGCGCTGCAGTCTCTGTAATGAGTTGGGAACAGCTCCAAGTGATTTGTTTACACTCTACACATCACTGTCGAAAGCTTCTTATTATTTATATCCAAGCGGAGATGTCTTCACCTCTGAGGGAGTGCTTGCAGGACCCAAATCTAACTTTATACCCCATCTGCCAATAGCAAGTGAACTGAGAAAAGCTCTAAATATCAGGTTAGATATTATAGTCAACTAAAACTAAAAACCATTAAACGATATTTGCTACTTGAAATAAAAAACTCGAACTGAAATAACTGAAATGAATATTAGACATGTTGCAAATTAAGGCAACATTTCTCATTTTCATTTAGTTTATCTTGATGTACTAAAATAACTAAACCTAGAAAATAATGAAAACTATAGACATATTTAAAAATAATTAAATAAAAACCGACAAAAACACACAACAAAAATTTTAAAATTAAAACTTCAAAATTTTAATTAAAACAGAAAATATACAAAAAAAGAATAACAATTAAAAATAGAATAAAAAATCTAAATATTAATAAAAACTATAATAGTATCCTAAAGTATTTTGCATTATATAATTATGGCCAAAATTTATTTTATGCCTCATTTGCCAATTTCAAGTAAATTGAGAAAGTTTATCAGCTCTAAATATTTCTTGCATGTTATGGAAAATATTACATATTGTAATATATATATATATATATATAGCACGATAAAAGATGCATGTGTCAGACTGTAACTTTAGTGATTTAACTCTAAATATTGCAATAATATTGCAATTGGTACATTCCTTTTGGGTTCTGTGTGCGTGTCTGTATCTAAAATAACACTCAAACGTGAAAGAATATGTTGTTGTGTTTATGATCTCTGCAGGTGTTTCGGGGAGGATGTGTGTATTACTGTCCCTGATATTGAGGCAGTTGTCATGGTAATGCAGCCTAGTGAACCACGCATCATAATCACTGGGGCGGAGCACCTGACAGTCCCCGCCTCTGGCCTTGCCCTCGGCCTATCCCTGTTCAGAGATTTGCATATCATCAGCACAGTTACAAAAAGCGCCGAACAAACAAACACAGGTACAGAGAATCAGTTCTAGAATCCCCTTACTTCTCTTAACAGAATAATTTGTTCAAATGAAAAATCTGTCATTATTTACTCACCTTCATATCATTATAAACTTAAAATTGAATTTACATATTGTAGTGCTTATTCAAACCTGTCTTGACCCACCATTTTGAATATACAGGAATGAGAATGTGTTTTATCATCATTTTTGGAGCTTGGCAGGATCCATTCTATGCCAAAGTGTAGAAAGCATCCTTCTCAACTTGTCCGTGTTTGTTGAACAAAAGAGAGAAAGCCAAAGACATGAGGGAGAGTAAATGATGACAGATTTGTCCTTTTTGGCTGAAGTATTTCTGCAACAAAAACACTCCTGATGAAAACAACCCACAAAGAAAGTCCCCAAACGCTGCACAGAGCACATTATTCACTGACAAACCACAGGTGTAATGCTGTTTTGGTGGCAAACAACAGTAAATGCAAAAAAACATGTTAATTAATCATAAAAGACAGATGCTCACTAAACCCTCCACCCTCACAACACAACACAGAATCTGAAACGCCTCTCCCTCCTTTATCCTGAGGGCTTATATGTTTACTTTAAATGGGACAAATCATGTTAAACTATATTTTCCTTGCTCTTTCCAATTAAAGTTTCAATCACTATGTAGATATTCATTAGCATTCAAAAATTTGGGGTCAGTAAGATTTTTTTTTTTTTAAGAAATTAATATTTAAATTCAGCAGGGATGCATTAAATTGATCAAAAGTGAAAGTAAAGACATTTATAATGTTACAAATGTTACAAAACATTTCCCTTTGAAATAAATGCTGTATCCCATTTTTTAATTCTCCTTTTATTTATTTGGAGTTTATGGAATGTTTTTCTTTTGCATTTTGTCTGATGTTTGATGTTGTTACTCTTATGTCTGAAAAAAAGCAAAATAAAATTTGAAAAAAAAAAAAAAAAAAGGAGACAATTCACCCAAAAATACAAATTTGAAAAAAAAAAAAAAAACACATAAAAGTAGTCCAGTTGGCTCATGGACTATATGGTATATTATTGAAAAGTATGGAAATTGTAGCAGACAAAGAAAGGAAGGGTTATTTTTATTATTATTCATAATTTGTTTCATCTTTGTATGTGTGCAGATCACAGGTCAGGTGCATTGAAGGAAATCGCACATAATCTGGACTACTGTGACATTATGGTGTTGGGGGAGGGGTTAAGGGCGGGGCTAGAGAGTCTGGAACTGCACCACAGCGCTTTATTGGGCAAACACCTGCAATACGTCAACTCTAGCACCGGCATGTCCATATACGGTAAAAACAATAACTCTACAATTTACTTTTGTTACTCCCAATACAACTGTCTGACATCTTTCATCTTCTGTTTTAGGTGTGGACTCTGTTTGTCACTACACAGAGGTGATCAGACAGGTGCGTTATCAGAGCCGTCAGGCTGTCGACTCCATCCGCACCTTCAGACTCACCTGCTCTGAGCTCAACGGACGTTACACCAGCGATCAGTATTTGTTACAGGTGTGAACCAAACAAAGAAATGCACTAACTAAGCCACGGCTCTGATCTACGGCCTAAAGATGCTCTCTATCACTCTTTCTCCAAGGTCAACATCCTTCACAGTGAGGAAGATATTGAACATGTCAATCATGCGATGGCTCCGCCCAAATACATGCAAATTATTCATCCTACAGTCACAGAATCTAACAGCTACAGCTTAGGTGAGTGAAAGTCATAATGATCGTGTCGGAATGAATTAAGTGTGTCCGTGATTGTTCATTTTGATAAGACAAACATTAGCTGAGGTGATACCAAACATACTTTATTGATTTATCAATCTCAGTTAATATTATTTTATACATTTCTTAAGTTATACACTACCACTCAAAAGTTTGGGGTTGGTAATATTTTTGAAAGAAGTCACTTCAGGCTCCATTTATTTGATTAAAAACATAGTAAAAATACTGTGAATATTGTGAAATATTACAATTTTAAAAAACAGATTTCTATATGAATATATTTTAAAATGTAATTTATTTATGTGATGCAAAGCTGAATTTTCAGCATCATTACTCCGGTCTTCAGTGTCACATGATCCTTCAGAAATCATTCTAATATGAGTTGCAGCTCAATAAACATTTCTGATTATTATTAATGTTGAAAACTGTTTTTTCTGCTTCATACATTTTTATTTCAGGATTCTTTGATGAATAGAAAGTTCAAAAGAACAGCATTTCTTTAAAATATAAATCTTTTGTAACACTGTAAATGGTTCGCTGTCGTTTTTGATCATTTTAATGCATCATTTCAGAATAAAGTTATTAATTTCTTAAAATAAAATAAAAATCATACTGACCCCAAATTTTTGAACTGAAGTTTATAAAGTACTGTCAATGTTTTATAAAGGAACAAGAAATAACAATTAACAATAATAAATCTATAAATTAAATGCTGTTAATAAAAGTATGTTGTTCATTGTTAGCTCATGATACTTAATGCATTAACTAATGTTAACAAAATGTCGTTCAAACAGTATTTTCAATATATCGTACCATGTAGGGTTGGGAAACACAGAACTGGTTCCAGTTTATAACCAATGCCAGTGTAGTCTGATTTTTGAACAAATTATTTAAAAAAAAAAGACTTCAATCAGGTTATGAATCACTTACTGAATCAGTTGGAAGGGTTATTGACTTTGACTTAACCGCTAGTTATTACTTTCATAAACTCAAATGAACCAAAAACTGTAACTATGTTACTTAAGATTCACATTCAATACAGATTGAGTTTGATTGAGATTGAGGCTTCCTTAAAAGTACCAAAAGAATCATTGCAATCATTAAGAAACCAACTGACAAAAAACTCTGTCAAACTTGGCAATTATTTATTACAACATACTAAACAGATGTGACTGTCATCCCTCATAGCTTCAAGTCAAATTATGACATCTACTCTAAAGTCTATAGGGTGTAAGATTTAGACACGTTTATTGTCTTTCTGTAGTTGTCCTTGCCGTTGCTACTGCAGTCATTGTGCTGTGTATCGCCGCCCTGCTGGTGGTGCTGCTGAGTGTTTACCGCCTCAACCAACCACAAAACCAAGAGCACATTCACACGCTGCCAGAGAAACAAGCGGACTGTGACGGATCCTCTCTCTCCATCACCGTCAACCCTCTGGAGGTACGACAAACCGTCTACATGCTCAAGCAACACAAGACACCATAATGTAAAGAAGCTGCCAAAAGGATGACGCCTGTCAAACTGCCACAGCATGCATGAGTCTCCGTGAAAACGTTTCTTTATAGCTGGTAGGGCAGAACAGCAGTCACACAATCAGCTAGAGCTGAACAACTGATTTAAACACAGTCGTTTCAAAAATGATATACTAAAGTTGTGTGAGAGATCATTGGCCTAGTATTTTGCCATGAAGTTGGACATGTCATGTTCCTCAATCAATCTCTCTTTTGGTCCAACATCTTTATAAACCAATCAGATTTGAATGTTAGTGTTTCAATAACATGCAAGATGTCTGTTGAAGATCGCTTCATCTGGAAAGCATCTGCTGTGAACAAACATCTGATAGTCGCCTTTAAGATGTCAGTTTTACATACATTCGAAGATCTTAAAGACATCTTCTAAACATCTATTTGACATCTGATAGGAAAGGCCCTATAGACGTATTGCAGATGAGCAAACACTCTAAGAAATATGTCTTGCAGATATAAATGCAGACGTCAAATAGACATCTCCGTGATGTACAGTGCACTACCAGTCAAAAGTTTTTAAATAAAAAAAAAGTGCCGGTATTTTTTTGTATTAATTTTATAGAAATGAATACTTTTATTCAGCAAGGAAGCTTTAAATTGATCAAAAGTCATGATAAAGACATTTATGTTAAGATTTCTATTTCAGATGAATGCTAACTAAGAAACCTGAAAAAATACTACTCCGCTGTTTCTTGAGCAGCAAAGTGTCGTCTTACTCCATCGGTCTCTCTTGTGTGTAACATGCGGTGCATTTGTGTGCGAGTGGTTCTGTAAATGACTTTTCTCTCATAAAGTGCAAATGGATGGTTTATATGTGTTTGTACATCTTTACCGACTCAATTTGCTCCTTTTTGTGGTCGCTGCTGGACTTTCTCTACATAAGTCAATAAAAACGGTTTTAAGAAAATTGGTCACCTAACTAATTTTACTCATAAACGTGGCTGTTAAATGGCTGTTTTACTGGAATTTAACCACAATAAAGTCTATTATGGTCGCACTGGCACTGCAGACTGGTGAGACGCCCTGTGAGTCACACAACAGCGACATCTAGTGGCGCAACATGTGCAGCACGTTCAGATAGTCATTGTGTTCTCATATATTTTAGCATTTTAAAGGGAAAAAAAGGCCAGTTTTTAGACTGGATGTCCTGTACAGAGCACATTCAGGCTTTTTAGAGATATCAAATGTTTGAAGGTTTGATCATGAACACTCACCTCCTTGGTCTTTAAATATTTAATTAAATTCAAGTTTATTTGTACAGCGCTTTTCACGATACAAATCGTTGCAAAGCAACTTTACAGCAAATTAAGTTTCTACAATATTTAGTGGTAGTTTATCAGTGGTGACTGTCATATGGCAGAAATGTATGGGAAAAAAATCAATTAAAGACGTAATCAAACAGACGATGAACACTATTAACAGCAATTATTATATGATGCAATCAAACTTATACTACCAGTGCGTTACAATAGTCCAGTCTAGAGGAAAGATTAAGATTATTAAATATGACGGATATTGACAGAACGATCTAATTTAGCACTCTTAGGGAAATATGATAATGTTTTGCAATTATTATTTAAATCTGGCTCGTTTTCAAATTGTTTGTCATAAACATCTCAGAAAAATGTTATGGGATTTCAAATCGGAATATGGCTTTTTGTTACGAAACGGGGCATAATTTTCATACATGTCTTCTGTAGAGGACACCAGGACAAACATCATGTTAATCAACCATTTTGGGGAGACACAAGAAATTATAGATCAATATTCCTATAAAATATGAGATATTCTTATGAAAATGTTGCCAAGTTATTACTGGCATTATTACACTTCTTTTTTTTCATTATGGCTTGCCCCAAGAACACATTAATATGCAAATAAGATGCAATGTATAGAATGAGAATACCAATTTATGGACATTTTACACACAAAGTACAGTAGTATATCAACTCATTCTGTTATATCTTTCATAACATAGTTGAGAATCATCTTTGTACAAAGTTTGGTTTAAAAGTAGCCTCAAACCTGAAAACTGATTGGTGAATGAAAAAAATAAAACAGTTTTTGCCTTTTAAAGTCAATTGTTTTATTTTATTATTAGTTTTTTTAATAACTTTGTCCTGGTGTCCTCTACAAAGGACATACAATAAAATATCTTTTTTCAAAAATATTTTTTTCTCCATTTGTTTTTTATGCTCCAACCAATGTAATGACAAAAACAAAAAAACATTTCACAAAGCTTTTTTTCTGGTTCTCATGAGGATATTATACATTTTTAAATAAAGACATTATAACTGGTCATTCAAACGGTTTCCAACAAGAGTATTTAATCACGATGAGGATGTTGTTGTTGATGATGATGATGATGATTATAAAAAAACAATGACACATTAAAATAAAGTTGTGACAAAAGTGTGACAACATGCCCCGTTAAAGGGTCAACATTCAAATAACTATCTTAATATATTGATGAGACATAGAATGTGTTATTTATATCAAGTAAAATATAAATTATAAATACATATTTCATATCTATCATATTCAAATATTTAAAAAAAAATACTTCGCATAACTAGCCATTTACTGTTCAGCGGTGTTGCTTTTGGGTGTTGTTCTTCAGAAAACCCCAATGATCCATAAACGGAATAATATAAACCCGAAACCCAATTAGAACGATGTAAATACAGCATAAGCAGGTTAGTCAAAACTACTGTGAAAACACTTAGTGTCAATTACTATAAAAAAAAAAAAAAAAAATTTACTGACTCCAAACTTTTGAACGGTAGTGTATCACAAGATTTTCATTTTAAATAAATGCTGTTTTTTTTATTTATTTTATATTCATAAAAGAATCCTGAAAAAAGTATCACAGGTTCCAAAAAACATGAAGCAGCACAACTGTTTCCAACATTGATAATAAATCAGCATATTAGAATGATTTCTGAAGATCATGTGACACTGAAGACTGGAGTAATGATGCTGAAAATTCAGCTGTGATCACAGGAATAAATTACATTTTAAACTATTCAAATAGAATATTTAAAACAGTCATTTTAAATTGTAATTATATTTCATAATTATACAGTTTTTAATGTTTATTCAAAAACATTAAAAAAAAATTTTCAAAAAAGACCAACCCCAAACATTTCAACAGTAGTGAATACTGGCTTTAAAAAAAAAAGAAAGAAAGAAATGTGATGTTAGTGAAAAGATCCTGCAACACAGGAAGGGAATTTTATAAAGTAGGTGTGACTTGCATATCCAACTATATTTAGATCAACTGTAAGTAGGCTTTTGGAGAAAAAAAAAAAAAAAAAGAATAAAATGCTAAGTGTAGGATACGGCCCTTTTAAACGGTTCTGTAAAAAACGTTTCTGGTCGGTGTTGCAACCATGTAAAACCCCTATTAAATTGCCTTTTCAGAGAAGTTTGGAAATATGCTTGTGAAAGGAAAGGACGTGATGTGTGGCCAAGTATGTGGCTCTGCATTTAACCCATTTAACACAGCAGTTAGTAGTGAACAAACAAACACACGCACACGCACCGTGAACACACACCCGGAGCAGTGGGCAGCCAATGCTGCGGCACCCGGGGAGCAGTTGGGGATTCGGTGCCTTACTCAAGGGCACCTCAGTCGTCGTATTGAAGGTGGAAGAGAGCGCTGTACAATGCGACGGCAGCCATAATGCGCCAGAACACCCACCACACACCAGCTTACTGCTGGAGAGGAGACAGAGTGATGAAGCCAATCAGCATATATGGGGATTGTTAGGAGGCCATGATGATCAGAGGCCAATGGCCAAATTTTGGCCAGGATGCCGAGGTCACACCTCTACCTGTGATTTTTAATGACCACAGAGAGTCTTGGGCTACAGTCTTGGGCTACAGGGTGATATGGCTGCCGGACAATGACATTATGATTCCTAACACGTCAATAAACAACATGGGGTAAGGGCTTATTTCTGCTGAGAGAGGCACAAAATTAGAATAAGATAGTGAATATTTAAAGTAATTTCAAACTTCTTTTGAATACAGTATTTTTCAAATATTCACTACTGTTCAAAAACGTTTAATACTTTGAGAAGTTTCTTCTGCTTACCAAGGCTGTATTTATTTGATCTAAAACACAAAAAATGGTAATATTGTGTAATACTATTACAATTTTAAATACCTGTTTTTTTATTGTAATATATTTTAAAATATAATTTATTTCTGTGATGCATAGCTGAATTTTCAGCATCATTACTCCAGTCTTCAGTGTCACATGATCTTCAGAAATCATTCTAATATGATGATTTGCCGCTAAAGAAACATTTATTTCTCATTGTTGAAAACTAGGGATGCACCGATATGAAAATTTTGGCCGATACCGATAACCGATTATTCTTTATTTTTGAAAGCCGATAACCGATATGTTGGCCGATAAATCTATATCCAAATTGTTATATACTTTTTGAGAGCCTGATTACAAAAAAGGTCTCATCATTAAAAGCCACATCCCAAACACTTCAACATAAGCAACCTAGTTTGAACGGTGTACGTTTTAAAAATATTTTTACTCTCCCATTAACAAATTTAGTCATAAAAAAGTCTTACAAATAAATAAAATGATGCATAAATAATGCAAACAAGTCACTGGACATCATTACACGTGTAAAGAATCAAAATGAATGCGCCACAGATCAATAAAACAGAATAGCCTCTGCACGGACAATAATTAAATGATTTTAATTACTAAACCATATTGTTGATGAAAATAATAAGAGAAAAATACAAGTGGTTGTTGTTATTAATAATATATCAATGATTTTGAAAAAGTAACAAATTAATACCACTGTTTAAAATAGCAGCC